TAGGGGATGGAGGAGGTGACAGAGATAGGGAGGGGGTGTAGGAGGCTGGAGGAGGATTGTAAATGAGGACAAGGTGCTATATAAATGGAGGTGTTGCTGGGCCGGCAGCGGGAGCAACTGAGGACGCGTCGGTGGGTAATGTGGGAACTAGTGATGTGAGGATGCGCATTTCAGGCCGTCTTTCAATCCCCTTGTTGGGTTGGGGGTGGGGCACTGATGTTTGTCTCTGATATAAACAATGTGGTGTGAATATAGAAGGCATGGTTAGTATGTTTGTGGGTGATGTAGCAGAGAGTGAAGAAGGTTATCTCAGAGAACAAAGGGATCTTGATCATTTGGGCTCATGGGCTGGTGTGGGAGATGGAGTTTAATTTGGATAAGTGCAGGGGTATTGCATTTTGGTAAAACAAACCACAGCAGGACTTATGCAGTCAATGGTAGGGCCCTGGGTGCTGTAGAACAGAGAGACCTAGGGGTGCAGCTACAAAATTCTTTGAAGTTTGTATACATATAGACAGGGAGGTTAAGAAGGCATTTGGCACGCTTGCCTTCATTGCTCAGACATTTGAGTATAGGAGTTGGGGACGTCATGTTGAGGTTGTACAGGACGTTGGTGAGGCCTCTTCTGGAGCACTGTGTTACAGTACTGGTCTCTCTGTATTAGGAAGGATGTTGTTAAACTGGAGAGGGATCAGAGGAGATTTACCAGGTGCTGGGAATGGAAGGTCTGAGTTATATGGATAGGCTGGAGACTTTTTCCACTGGAGTGTTGGAGGCTGAGGGGGTGTCCTTATACAGGTTTATAAAATCAGGAGGGGCATGGATAAGGTAAATAGACAAGGTCTTTTCTCCAGGGTAGGGGAGTCCAAAACTAGAAGGGCATAGGTTTAAGGTGAGAGGGAAAAGATTTAAAAGGGACCTAAGGGGCAACTTTTTCCGCGCAGAGGGTGGTTTGTGCAATAGAGCCGGCGACAGTTAAAAGACATTTGGATAAGTCAGTGAATAGGAAAGGTTTGGAGGGATATGGGCTGGGAGCAGGCAGGTG